AAAAAAAAAAAAAAAAAAGGAAACCAACACACACACACACACACACACACACCACGCTCTGGGAGAAGCTGTGGCAAATACTGACCTGCCATCGCGGACCAGACACTGCTCATGGCACCAAGGGTATAGCTGTTAACAATTCTTGCTTTCATTAGGCATGCACGCGCTAGGTTTGAAAAAACAATTCGAAGTTCTTCAGACCGGAATGTAACTATATGAATTTGGCCAGTTCCTTAATTTTCCTTCGACTTGGTTACTTCACATAGGCGTGGCAATGACAAAAATACAGCTGTGAAAATAGAACCCAGATGGACACCCAGCGGTCGGGCCTGAGGCTCTGAAGCGCTGATTTCAGGATTGGTGATTGAGAAGGCCTGCTAGGCCTGAACTCAAGTGCTGGGGGACGTCGGAGCTGCCATATACATCCAAGAAACTGGGAGGACTCACGACCACCTCTTTCCTCGGTGGGAGCTGTCTCAGCTGGTCAGAGCGCGGCTTGCTGGGACCTGGGATCTCGCAACGCATGCTGGGGTGCACAGCATCTCAGGACGACCATTGGTCCCGCCCCACGGACCGACTAGAGCAACAGCCAATCAGAGGCGGCAGCGTGCGGAAACGGAAGTGAGGTTTCCGTGGAGACAGCCGAACCTGCGGAAGGCGGCGGCGGCGGCACCTGTGAGCAGCTGCTGGGGTAGGGTATGGTGGCGCCGACTGCGCTGTAAGCAGAGCGGCCGCGGGGCCAGCCATGCGCCGGCGGCCCTGACATGGGCGCCAGCGGCTCCAAAGCTCGGGGCCTGTGGCCCTTCACCTCGGCGGCCGGGGGCGGCGGCTCAGAGGCAGCAGGCGCCGAGCAAGCTTTGGTGCGGCCTCGGGGCCGAGCTGTGCCCCCCTTCGTATTCACGCGCCGCGGGTAAGGGCATGGGTTCCACCCTAGGTGTGGGGGACAGGCGGGCGGCCAGGCGTCCCGCGCCACCGGGGAACTTCCACTGCTGTACCCCACTACAACCGAGCCAGGACGACCCCCATATTCTGAGCCCCCATTGGAGATAGGGGTGGAGAAAGCCGGGGAGTGGTCTCCAGGCGGCTTGGCCACTATGAAGGTCTCCTAGAGAAGAGTGGGCCTGAGGCTTGTCACTGGGCCGGCCTTCCGCACGGTAAAGCTAAGCTAAGGCCTCCATGAGACCTCAGGACCTCTTCTTTTCATCGCTTGCGTCTCAGTCTGCATACTAAAGGCTCCTAGCCTTTTCCCCTCAGTTCTTCCAAGGGGATAATGATCTTCTGTTTAGGCTGCTTTTCCTGACAGTAGTGATGTTGTGAGGGTAGTGGCTGGGAAAGCAGGGATAGGCCCCATTATTGGGAGTGAGCCTGAGGAGAAAAGACACTCACCCAGTTATGTTCTCCAGATATAGAGCGCTGACCTACCCACCCAATCCCCACCCCAGTCTCCCAGGGGCCCAGACAAGAGTACCAGATTGGCTTGGCCCTAGTGGACTCCTGGAGATGGGTGCTCCCCGTGCTGGAGATCTGACTGTAGACAACAGGAAGACCCAACAGTGGCAATTCACCAGCCACTTGGGGCATGGGGTCGGGGAGACACTGCCTTCACCCCTGCGGGCTCCTTCCTAGCTTAGGCATCTGGTATCTCAGTCTTTGACACTGGGCCAACAGCATCTTCTGGAGTGAGACCCAACATGCCCAGGCCACAACCCTGCCCACTCTTGAAGTCCTGGGTGAAGGCAAAGGCCTCATATTAGAATAGCTGCCCTTTGGCCGGGCGCGGTGGCTCAAGCCTGTAATCCCAGCACTTTGGGAGGCCGAGGCGGGTGGATCACGAGGTCAAGAGATCGAGACCATCCTGGTCAACACGGTGAAACCCCGTCTCTACTA